TTGAATAACGCGAGAGATTGCTCAACCTCAGTGATTTCCTGAGTCTCCTGTCTACACGCGAAGTTTAGCTAAACTTTGTAATCGTATTCCGTGTTTCTTTAGACAGCGGGAAGTTATTCGGCCCGAGTGGACGAGCGGTGTCTGCGCTGTATGCGAAACAGTTATCCCGGTGGTAAATTCTCCCCCTCCCCTCTTCTACGCCTTTTAGGGTCAACTTTTTTTTATTAAAAAAACCTTTATGAAGGTTTCTGGTGATATTTGTCATGCCACCAGAAACTAAACATTTCATTTAAAAAAAAAAAGACAGTGTGTTTTCTTTTTCTTATAGAAAGAAATGTTTAGTTTCTGGTGACATGGCAATTATTAGGTCAACAAGATAAATATGGGTAACGCCTCGGCAGTGACGATGCATCGGTCCGTGACGTCAGATTCCTCAAATAGTGTCTACCATAAAGTAGTGAGCGTGCGCCGATGTCGCAATAAACGCCCATCCGCTACTTTTGAAGTGTTTTAAGAACTAAGCAAAAAACATATACCAAGCGCCCAAGCTAGACTTCTGAGACCGCCCAGCTAACCCGCTCCTCATCGTCAGTCGCTTCTCCAAACACACCGGAGCAAAGCGGCGAAGCCCATCCTATCCTGGGCAACTTTTAGGGCACATTTTCCACTTTTCTTTGCATTTGGTAGCGTTCCCGTTCCTATCGAAAAGTTCAGTTGTAGTACATGTTCACAAAAACATTGATGTTTCTGCTGTTAACAACTATATATCGGTTTCTTTATTATTATTATCTCTAATGTATTCGAGATCGTTATGTATGCCCGTCTGTCTGACTATTTTCGGGACAAGATAAGCGAACTTCAGTATGGTTTCCTGAAGGACCCTTCCGCGGAAACAATCCTCCGTTCTTTCTTTCACTCTTTTGTGCCGTTTGTCTTTGGTCACGGCCAAGTTGACACTGTCTACTTTTACGTGTCTAAAACCCCCATCATACGGTAAAGTAAATGTCATTTCCACTAAATGATATTATGTGACCCACAAATCAGCACGCGCCATTTCTGGCGGAGCTCGGTGCGAGCGCGACGCTGATGGTCAGGATTGCGAGCTGATTCGCCAGTCACATTATGTCGTTTGATGGAAATGACGTTTACTTTGCGGTGTGGCGAGGGTATTAGACATTTGACAAAGGAAACCACGACTTGCTTCGGCATAAGCTCTCTATGTATGGAGTTTCTCCTGCACTCACCAGCTGGTCTTATCTTACCGATCGCAAAACAACTGTAAAAACTGTGAGCAGTTTTTTTTTTTTTTTTTCTGATGATTATATGTTTTTGTTTGGAGTGCCCCAGGGGTCTAACTTGGGACCATTCTTGTTTCTTATATTTATTAATGACGTGGAGCCGTGCGTCGAAAATTCTCACATGTTCATATTTGCTGATGACTCGAAGTTTCCTTCGAATGTACGGTCTTTCGCTTACCGTGCATTTGTGACCAGAGGACGTGTCACGCGTGCATGAGTGGTGTTCGTGTAATTGTTTTGTTGATCAATCCCGATAAAATCAAAGTGCTATAAATGTGTAGAAGACGAAGATTTTCAATTACTGCGTTCTTGGCTCCAATCCTATTTTACGTGTGTCTGTAGTTCCTGACCATGGTGTTTATTTCCATGGTAATCTTTTCTTTTCTTACCATATCTCTCAAATTGTTGGTTCAGCTGTAAGATTGCGGGTCATGATTTGTCGTTTGGCCCAGAAATTTCTGAATCCATTGTGCATTATTCGCTTGTTTTGTAGTATCCTTCATTCCCACCTCAAGCTGGCAAGCGTCGTGTAATTAAAAAAAAAAAAAAAAAAAAACTTATGCATTGCAAATTAAAAAAAAAGTACAAAATAATTGTATTCGAAATGTTTACGATCGATATTTTGGGTCGAAGGTGTTCTTATGACTATACCTACATGCCTGATACTCTCAGCTTACAGACTTTATCAAGTCGTAGAGTTTCGGGGGATATTTTAATTTTGCATAGAATGATTTGTGGCCATGCATATACATAGCAGCTTGCTGTCTTTTGTTAACTCTCAAGTGCATCTACGTATCAGCAGGCACTTCTGCGCGTTTAATTTTCAGGAGAAAGTGTGTCCGATTACCCGGATGCAAGTGTCTTTCACTTTCATTTGACCAACGTATTTGGATTCTTTTACAAATTATCCGTATTTTAAACGTGAACTTGAAACGTTGGTTTACTCATCATAACCTTATCGCTTTCCTATATGTGTGTTGTGCAAGTTGTATAACCCCGAACGTGCCCCATATCAAGACTTCGGTAGTTCTGAAGCACGGATCAAAAAATAATCATAGTAATTATTATTATTATTATTTTTTTCTAGTCGCTCTCAGATGGTATCTGTAGGAAACTTTACAAGCACGCGTGTAGCAATAAAAGCTGGCGTCCCACAGGGATCCACTTTGTCACCTTTACTTTTTAATCTGTATGTAGAGGACATTTCATCAAGAGTATCGAGTTGCATCATCTTCCAGTACGCTGACGACACTGTCCTTATCTCTCGTCATCTAAAGTACGATCAAGCCCTTCGGCTGCTGAGCCACGACTCCGCGCGAGTCATGGACTGGTTCGCCGAAAATTTAATTACAGTTAACACAAGAAAAACAACATTAATCTGGTTCAGAAATCCTCTAAAGAGAGTGGACCATAAGTTGCCGTTTCCTTTACACAGGTCAGGGTGTGTCAATTGCGCATGCATTATGTTAGAGTATGTTGATTGTGTAAAGTATTTAGGAGTGTTTTTTGACTCCGACATGTCGTGGAATTCACATTTATCTTACGTGTGTGGGAAACTTCGAAGCGTTAGTTGTATTCTTTTCAATAATAGAACCTATATGCCGTTTGCTATAAGGAAATTTGTTGCGCACGCTCTTGGCTACAGCATTCTTAGATATGGAATTACAATATTTGCAAACTGCTCCGAGCTGTGGCACATCAAAGTTGATCGTATTTTGAAGGGTTTATTAAAGAGCGTTGGGTACAATTTGGTGACCTCATCTGAAGACGATATCTTCACATTTTTACGACTGCCAAATTTCTCTTCCCTTTTTGTGCAAAGTGTTGTGCTCCGCCATTTTTGGTCTCACAAATTTAAGCGCCCTTTCATCCCTGGTAGAAGTCTTCGTCATACTGCGCGATTTGTGACCCTCAATGTTTTACGCGCTAAGGGAAAAGAGTGCGCTCATATTATGTGCCTTTTATTTTCAACAAGCTTCCCGAGGACATCTTCAATGCAAATACGATGAGAAAGTTGAAAAAAATGTTGACAAATATATCACTGTAGTATCACCTTATCGGTTTTTTTTATATTTATAGTAGTATTGGTTGTTCTGTTACCTTTTGACCTTTCCTTTCCTTTCCTTTTTTTTTTTTTTCCTCCTTGCGCGGCGCGACTTGCCAGGCCTTGCCCTACAAGCCTCACTTGGCTTGGGCAGACCAGTATCCTGTATTGTGTTTTGATTGTTTGTGGAAATAAAATTATTATTATTATTAATATTATTATTATCAGCATTATTATTAATATCACGTGCAACTTCTGCACTTTTGCGTCCACTATATAGAGGAAAGTTGGCGAGTGCAGTACGACCGCTATATTTTTGGGTATTTCACGTAACTGGAAGATGGCTGAAGCATCGTTTAAAGGACGTGTAGCCTGTGGAAAGGCTACATTTGGACCTTCTGGAGTTGCCTCGTCCTGCGTGAGCTCCGAATCACAAAGTTTATCCGGAGCTGACGCCCCCCCCCCCCCCCCCCCCCCCCCTTCAAATGGTGCTAATTGCTCGAGGTAAGAGCTAGCCCTTCTTGCTAAATAACAGGAACTCTAAGGAGCATGCCAGATTTATAAGCACACGTGATGCACGTGCTCGCCCTGTCGCTGGAATACATTTCAAACAGATCCTCTGGCCGCCACTATGTGCACTCGTGCGAGCAAGCGCGTGCAAGTGCAAGCCTGCCAAAGTAACATCCGCGTGCACACGGCGCGTGTTGGCACGTATGGAGGGAGCACCAGCTCGGATGTCGTGACAGAGACATTGGTGTGACACAGTGAAGGGACCATGAAATGATTTTTCAACAACTCCCTCCTTAGCTTTCCTCCTCAACTTAAAAGCAAAATGAGAAACCACGTGGTCATGACGTCGTAGTATTTCACCAGATGCGATGACCCCGAGCTTCCCCCGTCGTTTATAAGCACGCCATGGAACCTGTCATTTGCAAGCGATGATAGGTGCCGTCACGGCACTCACTGGCCACGAATGCGAATCGAGATATTCGTCGATGGATTGAATGTTGACGAGCGCATACGTCTGGGTGACGCAGTGCTCGTGTCCAATGCCGATGCTTGAGCTGGGCTCTGCTGACGTGCTTTTTGTTTTTTCTACCCTCGTGTATTAGATTTTGTATTTTGTTTTGTTAGGCCCATTAAACGTTATGCAAGTAGTGAATTCCGAACCTACAGGCAATTATCCCAGCCCAAACTTCATTTCGTGGTTTCTTTAAATGCAAGAACCCCGTAAGAAAGAGAGAAACAGAAAGAAAACCGTTATTCAAGCCGCCCATATTAGTAAGCGTCCCATAATGGACATCAGTTTACTAAGTTCAGCTGAACGTAGCTCAACAGCATTACATGGTTTCAGGCGCGGATAGGATCCAACGACTCTAAGTACAACCGCATACACTTGCCGCACACATGTCACAGAGACCTTGTTATCGATCTGTTTTATACTTGAGCCCCCCCCCCCCCCCCCCCCCCGGCCACCGCAAAACACGTTTGTTAAGTACTGGCACTGCGAGTGATCGTTCGATGTTCGTTACCAAAAAGCCAACTTTGTTTCGTCAGCAGAAGAAAAAAAAAAACACACGGTGTATGTCACGGCAGTGAAACTGGAATAAAAGTATGTTTCTCTCAACCGAGAGCAAAGTTGCAAACTCCGGGCTCACCTGAGCAGGTGTCCGTCCCTGCGGCGCGTGTTCTGCCATGGGGTATCCTCGTAGCGGTAGCCTTTGCGGACGAGCGGTGCGCAAGAGCAGCTCAACTTGTTGCCCATCGCTCCTCAACGGATCCCCGAGGCTGCCGACGGAGCCCTGGTCTCCAGCGCCGACTCTGCTCCTCGACGACGACCGGGGCTCCTCGGTCCCGGGCCGCCGCGCACCTCGCCTCCTGGACCTTCTGCAGCGGACCACAAGAACACCGAGCGGTTCTTTTAAGACACTGGTAACACCGGGTGCGGACGAGAAGAGGGTGTACTCACTGCCGGCCATTAGAGTCACTGTGCCCCGTGTCACTCTGAAGTCCGATCGCAGCCGAAGCTATGCAGTACGTTCCCATAGGGAGTCAATCAGACCGCGCCAAAAGTGCAACGTCACGGCACACGGCCCCTTTGTGCGTTTGCTATCAGCGACTGAACTAATCACGCACAATGAACGCGCCGCGATCCTGCGTTGTTGTTTTAGTTTCTTTTTGCGCATGATTGGTTTAGCCGGTGATAGTTAACCCAGAGAAAACGAGCGCCGTGACGATGTACTTTTGGCGCTGCTTTTTGACTGGCTGCATTGGATTGTCGGCTGCGGTTGGACCTTAAGTGAAACGGAGAAAAAAGATAAGCTACGCGTAGAGCGTCGGCACTCCAATCCCCCTCCCTGTTATCTTGTGGGCGCCGCCATGTTGGTGCTTAGTAGAAGGCGCGCGCGATTGGCCATAGGTATACGATTCGAAAAAGCAACTTTCCAAGCTTTATACTTCGTCTCACCCTACGGTGGGCGAAAGGCCAAAGCTACGGGCCGACAAATCCAATCATGAGCCACTTAGAAATTGCGTGGTATTGCGCTTTGATGCACGTATCAGTGCCCCTCGGATCACTGATGAGGATGGGCGGACAGTGGTTCGAAATTGGCCCTCTCCCCCCCCCCCCCCCTTCCTATCTTATTCACAACGCTTACACACACACACAGTGGTTTGAATCGAATAGCAGTGAGTGACTCAACAATGTTACCTTGTAAAAAAAGCCACGACGTACAGGCTGTTTGCAGTGTCGAAGCTATAGAAATGACGCAGCGTTTTCGGGTTTGGAGCATTATTTGTCCACCCCTAATCAATGCCAGGCATGTCATAGCTTAGCGTGAAACGTGATTGGACAACGGCCCGTGGCTTTGGCCTTTAGTAAATCATAGGATGAGACAAAGTATAGATGCAGTGACAGAAAACTTGACCGGTACTGTTTTTGCTCCGTGGCGAACTCTATTATTGTCTCCGGAGGACGGGGAAAAAGGTATATCCAGCGTTTTTAGATAAACGTTCGGATAACCGGCGACGGCGGTTTTAGGTTTTAGGTACCGAGACGGCCGCAGTGTCGTATACACCTAAGCGCGGCTTCTTTAAGAGGGCTCCAGCGGCCATTACTGAGTCCACGGAATGCTAGCGGACGACGAGATTTCCACTATACGCTGCCTGGAGCACGTCTCTGGCTGGTGTGTTTAGCGTCCTATTCCGCCCCATGCACCGAACGCGGTCCCAAAGTAGCAACAAAATGACGTCACAAAGAGCCGGAGTGTCAAGCTGTCGGATGTCACGATCCTGGTAGTTGGTCCTAGAAGTTCCAGCAAGAAAAAAAAACGCGAGCAAACGCCACGAGTGTCGCTGTCGTCGCGGCGTTCCCACTCCTGGCTGCCGAAGCTTTCGCGCACTGTGTGGCTGGAGAGCGACCGCGGCGAACAGGCGTCTGCTACGTCCACTAGCGCTGCTGTGACACCGCGAGGATCGCAATCGGCGACAGCAAGACACTTTTATGACGTCAGTAGGCGGAAATCGAGGAACCAGGCACGATACTTTTACGGTGCGACCGCAACGTGCGTTCCAGAACGCCAAGGCTGCTGTTCTTAGCAAGAGCACGTTCCCAGCTGGCGCAGTGAACAGCATACTCAAATACGGCGTCGTACCCCCAGCTGTCGGGTATTCGCTATTTTTTCTGTGAGTGTCGCGAACCTTTATTCAAAAATGTAAATTCGACGAACCTTTGCACTTCTGGCAAAATTCGACAAAGTCCCCCCCCCCCCCCCCCCCCCCCTTCGAACTTCGACCTTTCAACTTTATCACAACAACTTTTTGCTGAGTACACCGAACAAGAAGATTTAAACAGGAAGCTTCACTAGGTCCGGTGTCCCTGCACGTACCAGAACAAGATACAATAATAATACGAAAGAACAACATTACGCACCTGAACAAAATTAGTGCACATTTTTAAACTTGAGGAAGAAAATGAGAAAGGACGGACGTTTTCTTCCTCAAGTTGAACTATCCATACTAACCCGCTCGTTCTGTCCCTAGTGCACATTGTTTTTATTTAAGCGACGAATGTCAATGTATCCGGAGACGAAAGAGGTTTTGAAGTGCATAATTAGTACGGTAATGGGCAACGATCCCAAATGCCAGATCCGGATTCATACAAAAATCTGTACACTACACTTAAAAATGGATAAAAATAAATAAACGACACTCATAGACACTGTCAACCTTCATAATATTTTCGCTAAAAAATAATGATTCGGCATGAGTGCCGTATAGGAAAATTCGCAATGAAACGTAGTATCCTCTTTGGAGATTCATTAGTTTGTATTAGTTTTAGTTGGCGTACCCCAAACAGAATGGCAATAGTTAATATGCGAACCAAACAATTGCGTGATACGTTTGAACTTTAATACTTGTAGGTAAGGGAAAACAACCATGACCGATTATGCCAACTATATTTGCCAGTTTATGAAATAAGTTTTCAACATTGTCAACTCATTGCATATGTTCTGAAAAAATTACACCTAGCGTTTTGTGCTGGTTTACTATTTCGATCTGGCTGCTACCAATGTTGACAGTTCATTTTTAACGATTGTCTACATATACATAATAGCACATGATTGCGGGCAAATATTGACAATATCATTAATATAAATATTAAATAACAGCGGGCCAAGTATACTGTCCTGAGGCACACCAGACTTCAAGAGTGCCAAAGGAGAAACATAATCACTCACTGAGACACACTGCTTACGCTGTTCCAAATACGAATTAATAAATTTTAAAAAAAAATCCCCGCGCACTATAAAATAGGAACTTTCCAAAGAGCGTGGTGTGGTTAAGACAGTCGAATATTTTACTGAAGTCAGTGAAACGTCCCCGCGTCAATTGTTTCTCTCCTTTATAATGTATTATAAGTACCTTTTGCAATGATAGAGCACATTCTGCAGACTTTCCCTCGCGAATTTCACACTGAGAGTCAGTTAGCACTGAATGTTTTAATAAAAAAATCGTGTAAACGACGCAAACTATGTTTTCTAGTCCCTTTGGAAATATGAGCAAGATAAAAATGGGTCTATAATTTGGGACTGCGTTTTCGTCACCCCCCCTGGCTACGTGCCTGGAGCCAGCACCACTTATAGACCGAACTTCTAGGTGGTGTTGGCTGAGCTGCGCCCAGCATGCCATCTTCTCAGCCCGGCATTTTGTAAATAAACACCTTCTGGCCAGTGCGATCTTCAGCGTTCGTACAGGTGGCGGGTACTATAGTCGCGTTTCTAAGCGACGAAGATTCGTGTGCTAGCCTATAAAGATAGTAGGCTGGGCTGGAATTTTGTGAACATGGAAACGGTGTATAAAGTTCCATCATCACCTTTTAACCCACAATGTTAAAGCGTAAACGTTAAAAAGAAAACGTTCAGCCTTTCCACTCTCGTGAAGAAGGAAGACCAGCGGAGCTGTACTTGATACACTGTGTGCTTCTTCGTTGTCGTCTGTTTTTCGCGCTGTTTCCTACGATGAATTCCCACCAACGCGCCCAACTATCCATTCTTCTATTATAGCTCGAAAGGTTGCCGCCATCTACGAGCGACGGCGGAAACCATACTGGCTGTGTGCTTGCCGCCGTCGCTTATAGATGGCGGCAGCTGCCCAGGTAGGTTTGTGTCGACATACACGGACACGGTCCTGGGGAACCTAGCCCTTAACAGCTCCGCTGTAAAAAGACTTAGAACATCAAATTTAGCGTGTTATCAAAACGCTAACAATAATTTCCTTTCGACTTTTTTTTTTTTTTTTTTGTAATTCTTGCTTTTTTCGAGGCATGTAAGGCCTATTCAAAAAAGAGCGTTTGCTTAAATTTTCTTACGTTACGTTACGTTACGAGTCATCGGGACGTCCTTGCCTCCTATGTTGCGCGCAAAGCTAGTGCTTGAAGTTTCTGTGATTCGTATGAAGAACATATATGAAGCTGCGCTTCATACAAAGCACATACAAAGCACAGGTGAGTCGGTGACAGCCAAAGTAAGCAGATGTAAGCTCCCGTAACATAATGCAACGAAAGCAAACGGTACTGTGTGAACGGATCTTTAAGGCCCATTCACACAGGCGTGTTTGCTTACGTTTTCTAATGTTACGCTATAAATCACCGGGACATCCGTGCTTTCAATGTCATGTGCAAAGTTGTTCCTTAAATTTGTTGCCATGCTGCATACGAAGTAAGATGTCCCGGTGACTCTCGTTGTAAGCGGACGTAAGTTCCTGTAACGTAACGCATAAAAACGGAACTGTGAGAATCAGCCATTATTAGGCAGTTTTAGTAGACCGTACTCTAAAACTACGCTCTGCTAGCGGGAGCTCGTGCCGTCACTTCGAAGCACGGATTCAGCACGCGCCCGCTGGACACGCTTTGTGCAGAATACGATCTACCAAAACTATTGTTCGTGTCCAACGTCAGAAAACGTTCGGGATCGGTGGTCGAGTGTTTTAGCGCACAGCAGCTCGCAGCACGTGGAGCGCAAGCTGGCGCTGCAAAACCCAGGGATCCTGGGCTCAATCGTCCCCCCTGCCTGTTTCGATCTGACTGAGCATCGTACCGACGTGCGGTCGTGTATCACCACTGCGTGATGCACGCTAAAGACCCCAGGCTAGCGGTTGTACCGTACTGACTAAATTGCTCATCTAGAGCTGGGAGACAAGTCGTCCATTAAGGCAGACTAACTTCAGGCTGTATAAACATACAGACAACACAATTTTTTTTTTCTT